AGCGTTGGCTGTGTTAAGGCGATAACGCCGTAACGTGCCCAGCACTAAAAATAATGATGGGTAAAAATAAAATTAAATTCAGTATAAATTTTGTTTAATACACATCCCTTAAAGTGGAGAAAAGGCCCATTTTATTCTACTAGATTTTTATTTTAAAATTTATGTTTAAAAAACATAAAAACATTGATAGAATTTTTGTGTTATGGTTAAATGTGGACAATAGTGTCGATTGCCAGCAGAGTAAAAAATGTAAAGACAGAAATGAACTATGGAGCCCGTGCTTCTGTCTTTAATTATGATGTAGCGCCCTTACCTGTTCATAGAACTTGTTGTGAGCCACATAGTACTGAGCATCAAATGACTCCTCTGTCACCAGCACATGTTGCCTCTCACCCACCTTTGAACAGAGAAAAACAAATGATCCAATAATTATTCATGTCTACTGCATAACAAAATAAAGTCCAGAGTCATTACTTTGTGACAGAGTAAACAATTTTAAGAGTATTTTGTTTTTGCATTAGTTGTAGTACTTCATAATTAGCAATTCTTTATTACAAAATATTCAAGCATTTTTGTTTTATAGCAAGACTATTTCCAGTGCTGAATGAAAAGAAAAAAGCAGCCAGCATGCATTTACTGAGTTATGTCTAAATTCAAATCAAAAAGCTGTGTGTTTACAGTTTTGTCCTGGAGTCGTCCTCAGTTTTATTTGAGAGAGGCAGGCTCCTTCAGTTATGCTTCAATTCACTAGAATCACAAATGCACTAAAGGTTTTGCTCTTAAATGTTTTTTTTTAAGTTTTATGTTACTGCAGTTCACCTCTTAAAGGTATCATATCATGCTTTTAAATCCTTCTTTTTCACGTCTAAATCATTCACTTATGGTCTATTTAAAATAAAACTGCAACGCTTTGGTCTTAATTCCTCGTTTTTGTTGCTCCACAGACTCCTTGCTTTCCCCCTGTTCTGAGTTGCGCCTCAGAGCAAGCTGTTTTGGTGCGGTCTCTTTAAATACAAGTGAGATATTTCACACCCCGCCCCTTCCAGGTCGCTGAGCGTTCGACTCCACCCCGTTCGGCCATATTTGTAGTTTCATACCAACAACACAGTTATCTACCGACTATAAACTGTTTTTAAGATAAAATAAGATAAGATAAAACTTTATTGATCCCACAGTCTGGAAATTTGCACATTACTGCAGCTTAATACAAGAGAGGCTGAGAAGAATGATGAAAGACTAATGAAAGATAACAAACAAAACCCCACAATATACACGTGATATACAGTATAGTAATGTACCAATGCACATATACACATATACATAAACACATATGCTTATTTATATACATATATTTACACTGTAAAGTACAGTATAAAAATGAATGTATATGAAGGTGCATATTAGTAATGGCAGATGGCAAAAAAGTATAAGGATGTCAACAATGGTAGACTTGTCAATCCAGCCTTACATGTACGAGCCAGAGTCTGACCCAGTGCAAGACACTTGACAAACCTGCAGAACCACGTCTTCAAACGAATGTGTCACAATGGTGCGTTATTTATTTACACACTTTATGTCATTACCTACACTGGGGAGCATAGCTAAACTAAAATACATGCATTTGAACTACTATTTAACTAGTATAATATTATATAATTTACTTTTGTGATCAATAAAGTATTTTTTAATTGAACAACTACAATATACTCACACTCACTGTACAGATGTGAAATTATTTTAAATAAATTGATTTTTGTGCTTGACTGTTAGTTTGAAATGTACAAAAAGAAAATAAAATGTAATTGTTTTGATTTTTCATTACCAAATAGCCTATTGATTTCCATATGTCAAATCAGAACTTAAATCATAATTAAATGATCAGTCACATTCTACTTTGGAACTGTAACTAATATTGTATGTCACAGGTCTGTGGGTCAGCAAAGAACCTGGAACCCAAACGTCTAAGCCAGATAAATTTCAAACGCCACAAGGCAGAGCATCATTTTAACTCTAACTCCAGGGCTTTAATGACAGAAGTACTCCCAAACACACCTCATCATCTTTCACACAAAGACTTCAGAGATGGTGTTAGCAAAGCACAAATTCAGCCACTTTTCCTTCTCCAGAAAACACTAATTGGAAAGTGACATGATGATGTACTGACAACATTGAATGTAAGAATTTATGTACTTTATTACTCCTTGATAAACAATAAAAAATTGTCAAATTACATTCATGGTTTTGATAAAAATCATTTTTACCTAAAATGCAAAATTATATATGTTCAATAGCTTTTTCTGTATGTGGAATGCATTGCCTTCATAAAATATGTTAGCAACAGAAGATAAAAATGGGAGTAATCAAATCAAATAAATTTATCACATACACAAAGTTCAACTTGCAGTGAAATGTTTTTATGACAAAAATTGAAGTTTAAATGTACACAGAACTCAGTAAAAAATCCTGAATTTTTTTGTAGAATGAAATGTAACCCATCACATCGAAACGAGGATTAAGTAGTACTCCTTTACTCCTTTAATTACAATTTCAAGGTTTTCAGGGCACTTCCTATTCAGCTCAGGTCCTTACAAAAAAAGAACAAAAGGAAAAAAGAAAAATGAATTAAAAAGTTCATAAAGGATACAATTCAAATACGGGCACAAAACAGTCTATTCTACTACAAGGCCTTCCAATCTGCCAATTTAATATTACCCATAACAAAAAGTGCACTTCTGTTAAAGAATGTTGCTGACTTCAAGTGAAGAAATTAAGGAGAGAGACTTACTGAAAAAAGAAAAAAATATGATGGCAATAATAAAATACCTCAGTATTGATTTACACAGAAAGCTAATTGATGCCAAAAATTATTTGCATACATTTTGCCTTTTAAATTCAATCAACCTGCATTGCTTTAACATTGTTGATGATGTAAACAATGAACAGCTGCATGTTCACACTAACCCTAAAACATCTACTGATGTGCTTTTTTATTGATTTAAAACTCAACTGCAATGCTTTCACATCTCTATTATGGCCTGCTGCTAAAAGGCGAAGGTGGACAATTACGGATTTGTTTGTAAGCATTTGTGTTTGTCAAGACTCATTCACAAAACATACTTCATGTCTGACTCATTACATAAACTCACTGCCTAAAGATGTTCGTCACCTTCTTTTGTCTGTTAGTAAAATATCTCACTGAACCACAGATGAATTTTATCAAATAAAATAAAGTAGTCAGAAAATAATTTGATGTAAACCTACAACTGATTAAATGTTTAAGTCAATCCAATTCACCTATAGCTTTGAGATTACACTACCATGGCACCCACCACGATGGTACTGTGACTCCCCTCAGTGAATTTTACAAATACTGAACTAAAATCTGATGTGGTAGTGGATGAGTTATTCACACTACATACACTAACATAACATGACATGAAAGTCAGTGGATGATATGAATTCCTTCAAGGAACATTAAACAATAAAAGAACATGTGCTGCATTTTAAAAGCACCTGGGTTATAAGTATCAGAGGTACATATTTGAAAATGTTGGTAACAGGGCATCCTGTAGGCTTAGCAGGAAGCATTTGCATTTAAAGTCAGTGATGAGCTCTGTACTCTAAAACTGTGCTGACTGATCATTTCCTTGGCAATATGTCAGAGCCTTAGAAGTCCCGGCTTTGACATATTGCCCAGGGTTTTTCCATTTTTGCAGACGCCCATAATCCTCACTCTTTTCTTCCCTCTTTCCAGTGTTGTGCTTTTGCTTCCACGCCTCTGTACTATTTCTGGGCATTACTTTTCTGGGTTATACCTCTTCTCCATCCACTTTAAATTTCTTTCATCCCTTCTTTCTTCCCTCATTCTATTGATCCTTATTAATTCCCTTTAATGATTTCAGTGTGAGTGTGTCTGTCTCAGTGTGACAGTGATAGGTTTGTAATATCTAAATGACAGCTAATTGTCAAATAATTTTTTCCTTTGCCTATTTGATTGGACACAAAGAGCCTAAAAGCCTACTTTTACAGCTTGGTTTTAAAATTGTAAAATAATAATAATAATAATTGGTTTGTCAATTTTAGATTCAGATTGCTTATCCATTCATTCATCCATCTATTATCTACCACATTACCAAGCCAACTGAATGACATCGTCTCTCTGTCCTGTCCAAGACTCTATTGGGGCCTTCTCCCAGTTATACTTGCCCTCAACTGGTTCTTCTCAATGAGGAAAAGCAGCTGCTGTATTACAAGTTTATCCCAAACAAGTGAACTTAGGTCCTTTTACACAATAATATTTTAGACAACTTCCAACTTGGATAAACTTATAAAGAGTTTATCCAACACTGAAGTGATATTGTGATAACAAAATTTTCACAAGTCGGCATACATTGTCTAAAACATTAAGATGTGACAGTTCCTTATCGTAGGGAAAGCCCAGCTACCCAGCAAAGACAGTGTTTCCCCTATCATTGTACAAAAGGACCATATAGCAGAGATGAAATCCTGAGGTCACCAAACTGGGCCCTTTCTCCCCAGACAGATACACACTATAATATACTTCAAACAAGTTAAGCGATGTACTGAAAAATAAAGGGCTACATTTGAAATATTAAAATGCTTGGTTTAGCAACAACTATGACCGAAGCAGCGCAAAATCGACAATTTTTCTCTTTTAAAACAGAAAATTGAAACACTGCTTAGAAGTTACAATTCTCTGTTTCCAGTTCATATTTTCATTCCCATGCTTTATTTAAATTATTTGTTATTGTAACAGTAATGTCTATGCATGCTTTTAAAATTATAAGCCATTAACTAAAATATTGAGGATAATTGATGGTATGAATTTGTCAATACAAAAAATGAGAAATGAGTTTTTATTTCCTTCTTTAGAATTTATTATTTTTAAATGTCTGATTCATAATCAAGTAATTATAGTAATAACCAATAGACTAATTATTAAAATAGTCATTGAGTTGCAGTGCTCCACAACAATCTGAGCACTCCACATCATGTTCGTTTGCAAAAAAAAGTATTAGTTTTGGATTGTGCGACTGCTTGTATTTCTTTGCAGATGTGCAAAAAGCAAAAGTCTCTATTTAGCTATGTGCTTACTCCATCTGTTGAAACACGTCACAGCATACCAAACACAGCATGAAAGTCTTAACACACCGAGGCATTTATTTACTTCACCATCCAGTGAATAACCTCCCTTGATACACAGCCGATCTACTGCAGATTTGTGGAATCATGAGTTTAATTGATAATTAATCCTCATCATAACAGGAATAATGAGTGAAACGTGGCTTTGAATTCAAATCGGCCTTTTTTTTACTCTGCACACCCAAACAATTTCTCTGCATCTGTGGCCTTTTATAGAATAAAACTGAAGTATAT